ACAAACTTGTGATAACTTTTTACTTGTCCAGTGGGTCAACTGACACACGTGGTCAGATTTGTATAAATATGTTTAACCATCTAAATTAATTGACCTACTTTTGGTTGCATTCATCAGCAAGTTAATTTTCATTTTTATCCAACACAAAAGGAAAATATGATGGAGAAGATGTTAAAACACCTGCAAGTCACGCAAACAATAAACCTCATTATTCGTGGAAGTATTTTAGTATGAATACAAACTAGTACAAATAAGGTCAACATTAGATGTAACAAAAGCATGAGAACTATCACAATCCTAAAAATGTAGCACCTACATGTAAACAATGTCATTACGCAACAATTCTGGGGTCTATTGCCAGTAATAAAGTAACCAAATAATCCCTGTCTGACTGGCCTAAACAGGCCTGATATTTTGGACTGCTGTTCATTTTACCGTGGCCCATCTCAGTCTGAGCGTAGGTGCCGATGATCTCTAGGTTCCAGGCGAGCATGTAGAAACGGTCCATCTGCTCTGGGGTGGCCTGGATGAGCAGTGTGGGCAGGAACATCCCCAGATGGAGATCCAAGGGATCTGGCCTGTCTTGGTGCACAAAGCTAGGGCCACGCAAGACAGGGGCAAACGGAAAAAAGAAGCAGGTGGTGATGCGGAGAGGGCAAGGAGGGAGATGCTTAGGGGATTTTTGAGGAAAGCAATATGGAAAGTTTGAAACATGTTATTGCAGATCAATGGAGAGGATGTTGTTGGGGGGGGCTTCCACCCAACTCGGGAAGAGCGAAGCGAATCCCAAAGTAGATTCCAACTTTTTTTACCAAGGATTTGCACCCCGACACAGTAATTGCGAATCAGAGCTTTCTTGCCATGTTGCACACTCTGGAAACGAGATACAACATCCATCTCAACATTTTTTACGGACACAGCGATACTCTCATTCTGCAACTAAAGTCATAATCACTGAGGATAGCAGGGAGGATGGTCGTAACACGCTATGCATGGACATCTGTTACCACAGAATCTAGTGTAATTGTAGCCGCGCACTTTATCACTGTATGTATAGTTTAACCACATGTTTCAGAGAAGGCTTTATTTTTGTAAGACAGCGGAATGCTCATTGCCTCTTCTTTGAAGAGAAGTCTTTATTTCATTTGTGAATAAGACAGTGGGTGCTGCTTCAGGCCCAATTCTATTGCTTTTCTTGTTGGTTCCCTTTGCAATGCAGGGAAATATGCAGCATTTTAAATAGCAGAAAGTCAGTGAGAAAATATAACATGTATGCAAACATTTTGATGAATCAAGATGAATTGATCGTTTTATAATCGTTGCGTTGCCCTCTGAATTGTAATCGAATCGTGAGGTGCCTAGGGATCCCCACTCCTAGGATGTTGGATTAAGTATTTTCAAAAATCCACAGGAGGGATTGTGGGTAAGAGTTGATATGGTTGAGATGAAGAACAAGCGATGGAAGAGATAAAGACAGAGGTTGTGCAGGAAAGCAGTGAAGACAAATTAAAACGGCTTTTGAGCATATCATGCATATTGATTTCAGACAATTCACAGCACACCTACTTAACTAGCCACAGTTCATCATGTCTTGCTCGAACAAAATGTAACATATGGACACAATTGTCAGGACACGCATGAAACTACTTTTAAATTTTCGACATGATTCTACTTTTAATCTTGTTGTGGCAATTTATCAGTATGTTCTTTTTGTATTTACTTGTATCACTTCTCTGAACATTGTGTGCATGCAGACAGACAAACAAAGGCTCTCTCTCTCTCTCTCTCTCTCTCTCTCTCTCTCTCTCTCTCTCTC